GAGAGAGAGAGAGAGAGAGAGAGAGAGAGAGAGAGAGAGAGAGAGTCATCATTGGAAACCAGGTTACAATATTCTTAAACTTAAGATCCTCGTATTCTGCCTCCTGAGATTGGGATCACAGGTGTGCATCGCCGTGCCTAGTTTAAGCCTGTGGTTCTTGTCATTCTACAGAATGAGAGGATACAACTGTTTTTTGAAATTATTTTCTGTCTTTACAAAAGGGCTTATGATTGCTGTCTAGTTTTCAACCCCACAAATTACCTTATTATGTCAGTTTCTTTAATTCTGTTCTTTGCAACAACATCTGGAGGAATTGTTCTCCAGCCAAAGTTCATGGGCCACGTGAAAACGCCTCTTTGAAAGTTGTCCACTGTCATGTAACTAATCCAGGAGAAACCATAAAACAAACGAAACCCAAAATACAACTGGAGATTACACATGTTTCTATCAACGTCACTAACTCAGCTTCATGACTTATTCAGTCAAGACAGGCATTTATGCATGTGATTCTAGACCATCACCTTTTAATAACAATTCAAGAAATCTTAAGAGTACAACTTGCGTTTCATAGCTAATTGGCTTGATTGCTTGCTTACTCACCGTTTATTATATCCTGGGCATTTGAGAGAAAAAAATAACAATTCAGAAGTAATTATATAGTTTCCATAAAAAGCATAATTAAATTTGAGGAAAATAAATATATGGAAGTTTGGATGATAAATTAGATAATTAATAGATGGCTTATTGACATTTAGGGGTAAACATTTATGTAGTGACCAAATAGATTACTGAATTGATATGTTCTTATCCAAGACATCTATCATATGCTTTCAATCATTTAGGTGAATAGACTATGCTTCTTAGATTTTTAACAGGGCCCCTATGAGGACCATACTTCCAGGTGTGCTTTGCAGTGTTGGGACCTGGCAATGTTACCTCATATCCTTGTCATTGATGACCTCAATTACTGGACAGGCCACTTTTTTTCTATTCAAATAAACTCTTTCCAGAAGAGGTTCCAACCAACCAACATTACATTCCACATGAGAGTCTAGAAATGTCAACACATCACCTGCAAAGTAATAAAAAAAATCATTTGAAAATCTGATACAGCGAAGTGTGCACATTATCCTCACAGGTGTTGGGGCTGCTGAAGTGTGACTGTACACAGCAACTTTCTCTTCTCACTGACTTCCTGGTTGCTACAATGTTATTTTGTACTAAAGCAAAGAAATTGTGGACATAGGAATTTTATGAAGAAAGCACCCTTTGCCCTTTATGTTTGTTTGCAAACAATTGATAAGCTACTCAGAATGGAAAGCAAAAACTTTCAGAAGGGAATGCTTAGTATTTAGAGTGGTTGCTCAAGCTGGGTGTGGTGGCAGTCAGATCTCTATGATTTCTGGCCAGCCTGGTCTACATAGTGAGTTCTAGGCCAGCTGGAGCTACAGGGAGACACTATCTCAAACAAAACAAGCAAAACAAACAAATAAAACACAAAACAGAAAGAATGTATTTACTCAAGTCCCTTTAAGGAAGGAACACTCCATTAACTCCAGGGGTCATACATGGGATTTTCCTTTAGAGGAGACCAGGAGGACTTGAAATGATAAATTAGGCCACAGGAATGATAAAGAGAAACATTCATTCCACATAATAAGGGTGAAAAGAAATTAGAGGAACCAGCAAGACTAATAGGTACTGGAATGGGAGCAGGTACTGGAATGGGAGCAAGGAGTGGAGTGTTGTTGAGTGGGTAGAGTTTGTTTTGGCAAGATGAAAAGGGTTCCTGAGATGGACCGTAGGATTTGTGAGTGCACTTAACACTTCTGATTGTCCACTTAAAAACCATCTCTGACAGGCAATTTAACATTGTGTATACTATCACTATTTGAAAAATAGAGTTATAAGAGGAAAACAAAGAAAAAAAACCTTGCAAGGCAGAAGTATTTAAAAGAATGGCTTGTCCCTGTTCCTTGAGGGAGGTAAGACTCTTCCAATGAAGCCTTAGTAGTATGCACAGTGCTTTAAATGTGCCTGGACAGTGAGGCTGTGTGATTAATAATAACTGAAAGAATCAGCCCAACCCAAAGTGATTATGTAGGCTTTACCTGGCAGGTCATGTGAGGGAAATTCACTCTCTACCCAGTGCTGGCAGCCAGTGTACTGCTGTTTCTACAGGGAGCTGCATCAGGGAGCAGGGTCTACCATTCTAGCCCAGTTCTCCTATTCAGAGAGCCACTGCTAAGACCACCCTGTGGGCAGCCAGTGAAGACCTTGAGTGCATTTTTCTCAGTGCTTTCCCCCTCCTTGCCCTTCTCAGGCCTCACCTTGTTCACAGAGCTATGAAGCGGCGGGGGGTTGTGGGGGTGTAGGGGGTGCGGGGAAGCTTTGCTTGGGGCTTTTTCAGCGGTGAGCAGCACTGACGCACTGCTCACCTCCAGCAGTGCCGTTCTGTAAGGACAAAGGGAACATTGGAGAAGCCAGTTCATTTTCCTGTTTAGCTTCTCCTGGACCATGTTGCCGTGAGTGGTGCAACAGGGACTGCTACCTTCATTTCGATTGTTGTTTTCACAGACTGTTCCAGAATCAGGTCTTACCCACCAAGCGCTGCATTCCGCATGCTTGCCTTATCTCCTCCTTACTACAATTTGAAACACAGACCTGATTTTCATTCTGATTTAAAAAACCAGAACCTGAGGAACAAATAGCTTAAGTAACTTTCCAAGGTTGCTCAGCTAATTAGTGCCAGTGTGATATTAGGAAACAGGCAGTTCATTCCTTTACCCATGTTCTTAGAAGTAAAATTCCACAAACAAGCATAACTTAGCACATGAGAAGGCTTAAAGAGCATGGTGAGAATAATTCCTTGGATGATAGATCACGTCACTGAAATATGTAAACCATCCCATAATCAAATTCAGTATCATAGTGACTACCTGACCACCAGTGAGATTTTTGCAACAAGGTAAAAGACTGGAACGCTTGATCAAAGGACTTGGTGAGCAATTTCTGAGAAGTCTCTTTAGATTGTGAACCAGCTAAAGAAGTCCCTTCTGAGGCTTCCTATTTCTGCAGATAGGTACACTTGTCATGGTGGGAATTCTTTTAAAAAATATTTAATTAATTAATTTCAGTCTATGCATGTGAGTATATTGCCTGCATGAATGTAAGTGCACCTATGTCATGAAATACCCATGGAGGTCAGAAGTGGGAACTGGAGTTACAAACAGTTGTTAGCACCCATGTGGGTGCTTGGAACTAAAACTGGGTCCTCTGCAAGAGCTGCCAGTGCTCGGAATCCCTGAGCCATCTCTCCAGCCCCAATGCTGGGGAATCCTTAATTTGGGTGTATGATAGCTTGTGTGACAATGAAAGTTCATTTCCCCTGCTCTGGCCTGAATGCATATACATGCTCCAAATTTACATATTAAATTACATACAAATTTACATTACCTAACTTACTAAGGTTTAGGAGGGTGGAGTCTTGGAAGATGATTAGATCATGAAGGCAAGGCCCTTCTGAATGGGGTTAATGTCTTTAAAAAGGAGAACCAGGGGAACTTGTTGGCCCCTTTTGCCCATCTGGGTTTGAAGATAAAACAACATGACACCATCTTTGAGGAAGAAGCAGAGCATTCTAGATATTGAAAATTTGATGACATTTGATTTCGGGCTTCTCAGCTATCACAACCATGTCTCAAGACTTCTGTCATTTCAGTCTGAGCAGACCAGCATACCCCCTAAGCACTTCCTTCCGGCATAGACCTCTCTCCTGCTGTGGCAAGGCATACAGGGTCTTTTGGGTGGATAGGGCATGGAAGTGTGGCTTGTGAAAGTTGGCTTAGCTAATGCTAATGTCTGTTAAGCACAGCTTCCTTTCTCCCATCAATTCTGCTTATAAGCCGTTCCAACCCAGAGTTGAAATGAGGTAGTTGAAGTCTCTACCCCACCACTTTCTCCACCCCACAGCAGGCTTATGGAGCCCAAGGAGCTTGGATAACCTTCCTGGGTCCTCAGCAGCAGCAGGATAGGGCTCCAAATCTGCATTCATTTCCCACCAGGCCCAGAGCCTTCCTCAAAAGATTTTCATTCATTTGTTGCCAGGACCTGAGGGAAGTAGCACCTGCCCCAAACATATTTTGGAATATGATACTGCTTTATTTGGGGGATGAGGAGAATCTCCTACCATTGCTCCATTTTCACATATTTTATTTTAAAATAAAATCTCAGGATTGCGTTAGATAAGAAAACAAGAGCTTTCTGTGTAGCTGGCTCTCAGTACTGTTTCTAATTGTGGTACAGATCATCTGTGAATGTTGTGCAGTCGTGCTGATCCAGAGAGGCTGGGAGGCAAAGGAAATGAGCATAGGACTGAAGTTATACACAAACAAGTTGTCTTCTTTGAGCTTTACCTTATGGGGATCTTCCTAAGATCTACCTAACACTCAGCCTTTTAACAAATGGCTAGTGGGCCTTACTGTTTTTTTAAATTATTATTATTATTATTTTGTTTTGTTTTTCTTCCAATAAATTTTAAAAACTGATTTAGAGACATTAACCCAAACTTGTTTATAACCTGGCAGAATTTTCTGTTTCCTAAGACTGGGTCCCAGGAATGTTGGATTGTTTGGAGATGGATTTTATTAATAACTAAAAAAAAAAAAAAAAAATTGGCCAACCCCAACTATCCAGTGTGCTGAACAGCTTTAGCTCCCTGTTGAGCATGGCCCTACCCCACCCCCAGAACTAACATGTACTAGATCAGCATGGATACTGTTGCATCACCAAGTAGTTGTGTTAGAGTATTGTGTTTACAGTTTCTTGAGGAATGTAGGACTGGCTTGACATTTAATTTTATATAATGACTTCTAAGTGATACTGAGGAAACCACCTTTCATTCGGCAGCAGAGTCAGGATATAGAAGTTTATGGAATGATGGTCGCTGGTGCTTTTCGGGAAACCTTAGAGTAGGCCAAGAGTTTGATATCACTTGTTCTATAGTCACTTAAAGTTACCTGAGTCTATGAGTACTCACAGCAATGGTAAGAATTTTGCTAAGTGACTTGTCACAGAGCAAATGAGAATGTGACTCTTATCTTGATTCTCACTGGGAGTTGTCCTACTTCATTGCAGACCTTCCTGTGGTGAACAATTCTTGATCATCTATTGTCCATCAAATTCTAAAGTCTTGCTTAGGCCTTTTAATCTCCTCACTCAGTTAGCAACTGATTGAATTGTTCTTTTTGCCTGCATTAAACTCAGATGCCATGAACTCTGAGGGCATTACGGACATTTCTAATGGTAAGCTCATTGTTTGGACACTGATTATTCTGTAGATGATCCTTTTATATGTTCAGAAGGACTGATAAGACCGTCGGGGTAAAAATGGGCTGTTTGACTTTGATTTCACTGTGTCCTTGGATGTCTAGATTCATCCTTACTTGCTGGTGGCTTTTTCTTTGACTCTCAATGGCTAAATACTTTGAGAACAGAGCTGGCAAGGCCTGCCAGATGATGGACTCAGTTTCTTAATTTTTATCTCTTTTTTGAGACATTCTTAAGAGTATTTCTGCTTAGTATGTTTGCTGATTTCTTGTTTTCAGGGAGTCTTCAAATGCTGGGCAATGCCCAACCCATTTGTAAAGCATATTTGTAGGACCATGGAATGCTCAGGTGAATTAGACCATCCGTCTAATGAATAATAGGCTAGTTAGACCTGCTCAAAGCAATCCCTGAAGTAGAGCCTTGGAAAACTTTGGCACAGATGTCAGGCACACTTCAGGCAGCCTGGGTGCATCCGTATGCAAAGTGGCTACTAACTGTCATGAAACGGCTCACACCATTTTTCAAAGGCTTATTATTGGCCTTCCAGTAATGCTGCTCAAAGCATAGCCCTCCAACCACACCATCCACAGATGGGAATATAAAGTGAGAATACATTTTCTGAAACTTTATAGCAATTTGATAGAGAATTTATGAACTTATTATTTAATGTTTTATATATACAATTATCCCTTAGTATTGATAGAGGGTTGGTTCCAGGGTGCCTCATGAAAACAAAATTCTCTGATACTTAAGTCATTCATATATGTGTGTGTGTGTGTATGTGTGTGTGTGGTATTTGCATATAGCCTGCACAAATATTCTTATATACTTTAAACCATTCCTAGATTACTTATGATACCTAATCCAAAGTAAATGCTATGTAAATAGTTATTATACTAGATTATTTAGGGAATAAAGACAAGTAAAAACAGTCTGTGTATGTTTAGTACAGATGCATTTTTCAAATATTTTTAATACACAGTTGGATCCATGGACGCAGAACCCGTACATGTGGAGGACTGGTTGTATACAACTATATACATATGCATTCATTTTATGTGTTAGAAAGGAACTGTGCTTTATATATCTTTTTACATTTTTATTTTAAAGAAATTTATTTTTATTATAATTACAGTGAGATAGTCCTACAAAAGTGAAAGAGAGAGAGAGAGAGAGAGAGAGAGAGAGAGAGAGAGAGAACAGAATCTCTTACTAGGAAGTGGTAATCAATTAAGACACACCTAGCTGGGGTTTTACAGAGATCTGTGACCCCTTAATGAATCATTCAATCGATTTAGAGGGATTGCCCAGAAATTTTAAAAACAGGAACATAGAAAGGTTTTAGAATTTATTGCACATATTATTTGATAAAATGTCATGTGGTCATGTATGTAATTACACGTGTTAACTGATTGTGATGTAAATAATTTCTTAATATGAGCCATTGTCAAAATAGTTTGAAATTTACTTTGTCAAAACTGAGCTAATATTGTCCAGGGTCTTAATAAATTAAGACCCAAATTTATATTTTTTACATTTGGATTTACTAAACTCAAAAATAGTATGTTAAGGAAAGAATTGCATCTAACTGCCCCTGTTCACCCGAAGAGTGCATCCCCTGCTACCTAATAGTTGGAATGTTTGGGACACCATTACCAGCATATTTTGTACTCTGTGCAGGCTGGGAGGAATATTTTTTGTAAGCGGTATGTTTTTTATCCTGTATGCATTAGCTTTGGACACATGAATATTTTTCATCTGAAACCAAAGATGGGCAACAAAAGGACTCATCGCAACCCCAAATCACTCCTCCACTAACAATCCCACCATGCGTCAAGTTGCTGAGATTCCAATTCTAGGGTTTGTGTTTGAGTCTCCCATTCTCCCTCTCTTCACATCTCATCTGACCATGAGTTCTGTAAGCTCCATGTCCCCAGTAACTGTGACTCTCACTGCTTCCTTCCGTAGCCCTGTTTCCTCCTGGCCCTGGACAACTGTGATAACCTCGTAACTGGACTCTCTACTGCTCTCATCTCTCTGATAACCATTTTCTATATGGAGATGAGGGTGAGTGTTTTAAACTAAAATCAGACAATTTAACTCACCATTTAATGCCCTCTGCTGGTTTCAAGTCATGTCAAGGGTCATGTTTACATTCCTTGCGTGGCATCCAAAACTGTATGAAAGTTTCACTTTTGTCTTTTCCTCCAAGTGAATCTCTTGCTACTCTCCTCTCTGGTCAGTTCTCTTCAGGCATAATGAGGTCCTTCTTTGCCTTGAGTATGTGAAGCTCATGTGTGCACTAGAACATGTGTACATATTCTATCTCTCTGGGACTATTTTTCAGCCACATCAGCTGAAAAATTACCTAGCTAATCTATTTCTTGACCATCATATTTCTGCATCACTCATACATATTTACTTTCCTAAGGAAATTAGGCATGGAAAAACATTTAATTTTTTCAAACATAACTTCTCAGGAGAGGGTAGTAGAGGATTACCAATATCAATGACACACATGAATAAATGTATTATTTTGTACAAAGATTATATGATAAAACAGTGAAATCAATGCTTGGCACAGAGCTCAGTGATAAAGCATGTGCTTTGTATGCATAAGGCCCTGGGTTTGATTGCTAACATTATAATTGATCAATGAGAATAAATAAAAATTTTAAACTCTTAGCTATCACCACAATGCCAATTTTGATGTGACATACATGTTGCTTACTTAAAATTTCTTTTTAAAAAATGTGATAGAGAATTTTGATTGTCAACTTGAGTGAAGCTAAAAGCTGTTAAAAGACAATATGTTGGGCACTCCTGTGAAGGATTTTCTTGGTCGGGTTAATTGACATGGGAAGACCTACTGTAAATGTGGGTGATGATGTCCAGTGCTGGCCTAGATAAAAGGGCATATGGAAGAAGAGAGCTTTGTATTTTGACTGCTTGCCTTCACTCTCACTGGCAACTTTGTCTACTGTGCTGCTGCTTCTCCTGCAGTCCTTTGCTGGTATCAAAACCCAATTTATTTGAGCTTCCAATGTGGAATAAGGACTAGGTAGTCTCCAGGAATTCTCTAGGCTTTCAGTGACAAATTGGGACTGCTGAGGCACTCAGCCTCTTATACTGAGCAACTGCCAGATTCTCAGTCTGTCCAGTGTGAGTTAGGCATTATTGGACTAACTGGACTGTATTGTGTACCTCTGCTTTTCACAGGTGTTGTGAAGATTAAATCAGTTGGTAGGAAGGTATTTAGATTCACATCTGATATACAAGATCAGCTGTTACTGCAGAGAATGAATAGAAGATGTAAAAATGAACCCAAGTTTTTAGGATTTATAGAATATTCACTGACAGAAAAGATTTGCCTCCTTTCAGTCACTCAACAACATCTACAAATAAGAAAGAGAAGAGGAAAAGAAGGGACGTTTCTCTTTGGAAACACAGAGAGGGCTATGGGGAAAAAAAGACAGTTCAGAGAAGAGGAATGGGGACTCAAAAATAGGACAGCTATTTCAAACCTCTGCTTTCCAAGGCTCAGGGATCACTGTGGAAGAGGAGGTGGAAAGACTGTAAGAGCCAGAGGGGGTAAATGACCACAAGGAAACAATCTTCCAGACAGCTGGTCAGTTACCCATATGAACTCACAGGAATGGTGACAGTATGCACAAGTTCTATGCAAGCTCAAACCAGACAAATCCCTGCATAGACTTGTGGAAGTGGGTAAGAAATTCCAACCAAACCTAAGGAGTTTTTGGTAGTTGATGGCTGCTGGGAGGGTAAAAGACAGTTTTTTATAAGGATGGGACTCTTGGTGGGTCCAGTGGATGGATCCACATTAAAGGGCTTTTGGGGATACAAATCAGACTTTATAGGCCATATATATATGAGAGTAATTGGTCAGTGGGAGGACGTGGAGCAGATCCAAATGCCAGTGGGAGGAGGGGAGCAAATTCAAATGCCATCAACTGTATTGTATGAAAATCATATAAGTTCAATAAAAAAATACAAAAAGATTTTTTAAAAAAGAATTAAAAGATTCTGAAATTTTTTTTCAAGTATTTGTGGAGTCCGGTTAAAAAGCTCGGGCTTAATGAGGCTCAAGGTCAAATTTGAGACAATGTGTGTGTGTGTACCTGAAAGAATAATGGTGAGCTCTACGCATAAAATTTCCATAAATCCAGAGTGGCAGGTGTATTTAATGGAGAGGGAAGGTTAGGAAGGGAGTTGGAGAAGAGAGAGGGTAGAAGAGAAGGAAGAAGGGAGGAGACAGGGACAGAGAAATGTTTCCTTAGTTTAAATAAATGCAAGCTTCAAAAAAGTGGAAGGAATTATGGAGAGACTGTTTTACAGTCCTCGGTATAATAACTGATTCAAGCAAGAATCATCAGTTTAGGTGAAACCACTGCATAAAATGTGTATGTGTGGAAATTAGGATAATCTTATGGATCAAAGTATTAACCCACAAATTACTTCCCACCCCCAAAGGAGAGGTCTGTCTAGTTGTCAAATCTGAACCAGGTTTTCAAACTCAGTATTGGCAGCTATGAGACAAGCTGACACGATGTGAAGAAACAAATGTGCAACTCCTACCACCTGAAGAAGAACTGCACACATTTCTCACATCCAAAACATTCATCCTACAGGTAACATGAGGACACAGAATCTTTCAGAACTCAGGCAATTGTACTAAGTATATTGCCTGGAATATTAAAAGCAACCACAATAATATCAAATACAGTGTGTGATGCTGAGTTGACTATTCTAGACTGAGAGACTGAAAGGACTAAAACATTGAATGCAGTGTGTGGAATTTAATTTGATTCCGAACTTAAAAATATTGAGAACAATGAGAATACTTATAAGTATTTGGTGCTATTCAGGTGTGAACCTTATGTTTAATTAAGAGAATGCCCCTACTCTTCAGTAATGTCCAGTGAAAAACAGCCATAGACAATCATGTCTGTAAATTCCCTTTCAAAGGTTCAAGAAAACCAGTTTGTGTATATATGCTCACATGTGTCTGTGTATATGTATGACAAAACATGTTTTCAAAGGGCTGAAAATTGATAGACTTAAATGATAAACATGTGGTTGTTCTTGTTCTGTCCCTTTAAAATTGTGTATGTGTTTGAAAGGCACTGTTAACTTAAAAAAAAAAAAAATCAGTGAGAAAAGCAGCAGTTTCTCTCTTACCTGTTGCATTCTGTGCCCCTGCCAGCCGTGCTCTTATTAAGCCATGTCTCTCTTTGAGGTGAAGAATCCGTACTTTTGGAAACTGAGACATGTATTTATCCAAATTAGCTTTTAGGTATTCTGTATGAGAGTAAGAACAAAAAAAATACTTTAATTAACCAGGTTTCTATCAGAAGTGCCTTTGCAATGTCAAATTCCAAAACTATGAATTTGTTCCAGTTACTAAAAGTTATCTCTTGCCCTATAATTTTACTTTCTAGTGTCATTTTATTGAAAAGACTTTGTCCGAATTGTAATTCTCAGTTGTTTGATTTCTCAAAGCCTTGAGAAGACTCTAAGAAAATTCGTAAAGAAGCTGGAACAGCTGTAGTTGGTTAAGTGCTGTCATCCACCTCTACCCTTATTTCTTCTAGGTCTTCTCCACTCCCCCACTTTTTCCTGATGAACCATTTATGAAGTATTAAGTGTCCTCAATGGGCTAAGTAACAGCCAGAATACTGCCTATAGCATAGGACAAACCACTACAAAGGTCTCCATTTGGAGAAGGACTTGTTTGATTAGGATGAGTTTCTTTGTGTGTAATTTCCAGGCATGTAATTCTTACCACGTGAAGGAGGGCAGTCCGGATTGGTCAATGTACAATTGGGGTTCTATGCATGTTTCCAGTTATATAATCACTGCCATGCAAATGAGGGGCATACAAATAAGGGCAGTCCTGGGATTGATAAAGTTCAGTCCTCCTCTGTGAGTCTGGTCGTGGGACTTTCTGGTATCATCTTAGCACATCCTTTCCTCTCTTTAGTTAGTTATTATAGTTTTACTATGCCACGTTATAGTTATACCTGAATAATCAGCCTGACTATTAACTTTAGTTATAAGAGTGGGCCCAAACTCTGAGGGCACCCATTACCCCAGATGTCTCCTGGAACTGTGTGTGCCCTTGAGCTAGGCCTCACCCATAATTTTATTAAAAGTTTCTCCTGCATCAATTTTGGGGTGCTACAAACTTGGACCCATCCTTATCTTATCAGATAATCTTGCCCTTTCATCCGATGACCTAAAACATTTCATACACACAAATGTGAGTGTGTGTATATGGGCGGTCTCACAGGCCTAGTGAATGACACAAACATCTCATACACACAAATTTTCATTGCTTTCAGTGAAGATGCGCTGCCTTTCAGTGCCTTGATATGTTTATTCTCAAGCATATATACATTTTTTCACTATCTTGGGACAGAGTAGCAAGTTGAGGTTCCTAGGAACCAATGGCAGATGTCCATGTCCCAAGGGCACATAGTTCAGTGACTTTGTAGATTCTTTGTTGCAAGGTTAAAAGTCATTAGTTCAGATTCTGTCCATATTAAAAAGTCATTCCTACAAGCTGCTGAGGGATTCAGCTGAAGGAACATTTTACGTGTTTAAACATATATTTTTGAGACTTAGAAGAGTCACAGTTATTTTGAGCTACTAACTGATTCCAGGATTTTATTTTATTTGGATCTCACTATGTAGCCCAGACTGAATTTGAACTCTTGATTCTCCTGCCTCAGTCCTCCTGTGCTGGGATTACAGGTATGTGTCACCACATCTGGCTTTCCAGGAATATTTTTACAGCTCACTTCACTACTGTGTGAGTTCTGGGTCCCACAAAAATTGAATCTGTCCTTATGAAAGGACTTTTCTTGCTTGGTACCTGGATCCTATTTCTATGCTTGCTTTCAATACTACTTTTAAGGTTTTGAGTTTTCCTCTGGCATCTTACTGCTTCTTGAGCCCAGTATGATTATGGTAGGAATGCCAAGGTCAAAGGAAGCACTCACACCACCATAGTTACAGATTAAAACTGATATTCTACTAACACTGCATCCTTAATAATTTTTTAAAATTTAAAAAGTGGGTTGCATTTTGGGATGCCTTTGTGTCGTTCACTAGGCCTGTGAGACCTCCCATATACACAAATAATTGCACAATGCAGAGTGAGATTCTTCAATGTAACAAATAAGGACAAGTTTTAGAAACTGATGAGATTCTACTTTGAAACAGCACTGGAACTACTTCTTTCTGATCCCACTGAAATTTTGTCTTCTCCATACTTAATTGAACATGGGATCTACCTTAGTCTTAAGAAGGAAGCCAGAGGACTTGATTTGCTTTCCATAAAGCTTATCTTTAGTTATTGACAGAGGAGCAATAATTTCATTTATTGTGTGGACTTGACTCATCAAATTCTATGAAAAATGGCTTGTTCAACTTACAGAGAGCATCCTCTGGATTCAAAATGACTGTCTCCAGGGAGCTGCAGCTTTAAAAACCATTCCTATGAGGCAAGGAGTCACAGTTGGAATGCCTCAACAGCTGGCAAAGCTGACCCCTGGATGACTAATACTAGTCTATAGATGCTTAGATGTATGCCTTTAAGGCTCCACAGAAACAATGATTTTGCACTCCCATGCCACACAAACTACTATTACTTCCTATCAAGCTTGGACTTTTCTTACCTTTAGTGCTGAAGTCATCCACTAACAGAATCTCCTTGATGAGGTGCAGAGGAGAACGGTTGAGGACGCTGTGAACAGACCTCAGGAGAGCAGACCATACCTCATCCACAAAGCACATGATGACGCTGGTGGTTGGGAGGTTATCATGGACTAGCTGCTCTGCACACCTAGGTCAGGATATAAGTAGAGTGTAAAAGATGCCACCAAGATGCACAGAGTAGCTTGAAAAATCATCACTGTTCGTGCACACACATGCATACACACAAATATCGATCATCAATTATATGTATACCTATGTTCCTTTTACCACATGCCTTTGTTTGTGGTGGTGGGACATGAAAAATAAAGGAGCAGCAGAAGGCTAACCAGTAACAGCATTGGTTGCAAAGGACTAACAATGGGGACCTGAGCACTTCCTTTGAGGCATCCCACTGAGGAGAAAGGGTAAGGACTTAGTAGGTGGTAAGACTCTAGTTTAATCTTCCCACCAATATATTAACTACCTGTACTGACCTCTTTAATCTCTCTCTGCCTTAGTTTTCATATCTGCAAAATGAGGTAATGGTTCACTCAGTTTTACAGCCCAGTAAACCACCTAGCTCTTTTCCTGACATAGGAGTTCACTAAATGGTGGCTATTGTTACATTATATGCCAGAAGAGAGTATTCTGAGTTATTTAATGTCACTAAATAGTTTCTCACTGCCCATATAACAAGACATTTGGTCTTGTTAACCTCAAAAGGCACATACTTTCTTTCACTACGCATATGAATGTACCTGTGCCAAATATTTAAACTCCAGCCTTCTCTATTCTGAGGTTCCTTGCTGTGGAGTTGCCACACTTGAAGTCATTTTTCTGGCATGGAAACGAGAGTGTGGTGGGAACAGGTGCTCAGGTGGGCTGCACATGGCCCTGGGCTTCCTCATGCTCCTCATCGCTTGGGCTTTCTGTGTCCTGCCTGAGATACGTGATGCAGGGCAGCTCCCAGTGGAAGCTCCCAAAGAGTGCTTGCCATTCTGATAACACACCTCCTTTGGTAATGTAATAACCAGTGATGAATGTAAATAAATATTATAAGCACTGTCTTATTTCAATGTGAAGCTTTAACCTCTCCCTTTTAAATAGATGAGTGGCTGAAGTCACTGACAGACTAACTGTTTTGTTGTTAGTAAGTTGCAGATCTCGAACTGAAACTCTGGTCCAAATGGCTTCTAGAAGAAACCATTTAGGAAGTTTTGGATCCACAAAAATAAAACTAGCTAGCAAGCTGTGGCATTTGTGAGAGTGCTTCTGTGGACTGTTGGCTCACTGAATAAGAGACACATAAGAGAAAATGCTAAAGTAAAACAAACTGAATTTGCTCGGTGCTTTATTTATAGTTGTCCAAGTGCTATTGTCAAGATAATTCAGTTCAATAGCACAGCAATTGCTTGAGATGCCATTATCACGCACTTCTCCAAATGGTGCAAAATGATATAGTTTCTGTCCCATTGGTCTGTGCTGGCTTTTCTGCACTAATAGTGTGGGTTTTGGAATCAAATAAACATGTGGTCACATATCAGTTACCTCTACTGGTTTGGAGGAATGTACAACTTCTTTTAACTTTAATTTGCCAACTATAAGGCAGGGACTGAAAACCTGCCTTGCCTATCATATATCTGATACAGTACATGTTCTTAAAGAATAAGAAGCAAAACCAGTTATGGTCTGTAATTTCAATGTTCTCCCAAAATGGTTGGTTAGTATAAGGACCAATAAAGCCTTAGAAAAACACAGATATTCAATTTTCAACCCCAGGAAAGTGATTTGGAAAGTTTGCATAGAAATTGAGAATCTTTTTTTTAAAAAGAAAACAAAATAAAATATAATAAGAGACCAAAGAATGACTCAAGTCATGGACAGTTCAGTTTGGAGGTAGAAGCTCTAAAATGAGGCACTCCATTCTCCTAGTAATTCTAGTAATATGTGACTGATCTTAAGAAAATAGTAGAGGTCTAATATGAACGTGTCCTAAATTTTCAGGTAATGGAAAGTCTGAAGAACACATTTCAATCAGATGTCTAGTGTTAACACATAATAACAGGCTGCCTAAACTAATTTTTTCTATACAAAGGACACATGCATCAGAACTTCTGTAAAGTATGAGCCATTCCTAACTCCTTTTAAGGACTATATGAATTTCCTGTGTCTGCTGTAACAGCTACCAATTCTGCTCATCAGTTCCTTCACTAATTTATCGCTTCTCTCTTAAATTTTCTCTGAGCAGAAAGAAGAAACCAGTCACACCTTTAAGACTGCATGGCATTGTCCTTACTAAGTATCCAAGACCATCATCTGAAAGTTCTACTTATTTCCATGTGATATCAGACACAAGTTTAGCCAAACTTGCTGTCACTCTGCATCACACATTACCTTCCTTCCCATTCCCAGTCACCTCTCCTTAATCTTTGCTAATGCCACTGGAAGCACTTGCAATGTTTGTGTTTTTGTCAATATTCTTCGATGACACCATAAACACAGAGGTGTTAGATCCTTCTCTGCATTTGCCTCACTTTTCACTCTCACCAGCATATTTAGCATCCACATTGTTTTTAACAACCTGTTCAAACCATTCTAGATGTTTTCTACCATATTTACCAAAATTCCCCCAGCCTCTACCTACTGTCTAATAACTACACGTTTTGCCCCATAATATTCACTTTTTTGTTAGGTGAGGTAATTGTCATGGGTTATGGGGATTAGAAAGTAAATATATCTTTGGGGGATCATTTCCATCAGCCTGCCACAATGACTTAACAAGTTAAAGCAGGAAATAGAATTCTCCTGAGGGGCAACATGTCTATAGTTCTTCAAATGTGGGACTATCCTCTTACCTGTCACCCAAAGGTGGGTTTACTTATAACTTACAGAAATGTTATAGTTGTTTTTCCTTTTTCTTTCTTCCTTCTTTAAAAAATAGTATTTGGAGTCTCTTTAAAGTTTATGAATTTTTACAAAAATCTAATAATTAATTATAATACTTCACTATAAATTATATTGACACTCAAAGTTAGAAAAATTAGATAAAGGACAGACACAAACTGAAGGCATGCCAAAGGTTAATAAACAGTTGTATTTGACTGCATAATTACCAACAATTGAAGAATAATTTTGGAAATAGACAAACTTTAAACTTGAATTTCTTTTATAAGGTAAGAAAACATCTCCAAGATTTCAGTTTTTGGCAGCTGCAGTGGTAAGCATCGAAGTGATGCAGCCATGGTTTGCTATGCAGGGAATGTGTGGGGCTAGAGTGCAATGAACAGTCAATGCCAAGTGCAGGAACAAACAGTATTTTGTGAATATTTTGGGACAAATCTTAGAAAGCAGAAGAGTAGCTAGGTGGGATCTAGGGCACATTTGTGACCCTGTTCCCCTCCCTCTCCCGAAGGACCAAGTCATATTTATGGGTGTGAGAGAAGGTACAAATAGAATTGAAATCCCTCTCTCTCTCTCTCTCTCTCTCTCTCTCTCTCTCTCTCTCTGTTCAAATTATCAGTGGGGCAGGCTCCCCTTACACTGATGAGCCTCACAGGGGTAGTTGACATATTGACAGGTCTGTTCTTAAATTGTTCTCCCTTTTCTCTTTTTTTGGTCTCCTGAGACCTTATATCCTCCTGGTTTTCACCTATCCCTCACCTCTCCTTCAGTCTCTTTCTTACCTCCCCCCCTACCTCTCAGTCACTAAATGGAGCCTTCTCAGAACTGGGTCTTGAGCTTTGTCCCATCAATGTGACCACCGCAGGGATGGTTTCATCTGTTTACTGGGGCATTGCTTTCAGTAATGCCTCCACAGAGCTTACTCTGGTCAAAGTCCAGCTGTCTTATTGTTCTGAACATCTGCCTGCATTTCTTTCACAGCATTCATTTATAGCTTTTATGTTCTTATCTTCTAAATCTAGAAATTTCTGAGTGTGTGTCAAATCTGCTTTCTTCCTGTATTACCGCAAGCCTCTAGCACAGTTGCACATAATAAATATTTGAAAACATATATTTTGGGATGGATGAATGAGAGGGTGGTGGTGGAGTGGAGCCCACAGAGAAAGTGGAGATGTTTTCCTTTGAGATAGAAGAATAAGTAGCAGTGTATACAGGTAAGTCCATATGCAGGGATGAAGAAGTGAAATTTTGTTGGGTAATTTTTAAGCAGAACACAGGATCTGTAGATTCTAAATACTTAATTTGCACAATAAATGGTCATTTAGAATAAAAATATAATTTCTTAATTTCAAAAGTTACAACCCTGGAAATATCTTGTATCTGAGTTCGACTTTGGTTGTAAGTCCTTCTATGGTATAGCAGAAACAAGGCTTCTGATGGGAAAACAGGGAGACAAGATGTGCTTTACTTGGGTTGGTGTAAGACAGCTTGAAGTGGTCTGGAAGCCAAAGAAGAAATTTCACCTAGATATAATTTTGGAAGGCATTCTCATGCCTAAAATGGGGATAGACGAGATCATACAACAACACGATATTGGTTTGGGTGACTGAATAGTAAATCATTATTCACTTGGAAGAGCCTGATCTCCTTTATTAGTAACAGGTTAAACGTGTTTTCAGGTGCCTAGAAGGAAATGGCAGTCTTGTGTTTTATTCACAGGCAGAATGGGTCAGAACAGAATGGCTTTCAGTATTATTAACTCCTGCACTAGTCACACCTAGTGACAGCCATTCAGTTCCATCTAGGCTCCGTAAGTTGTAAAACCACGTTGTTATCCTATACTGATCCAAGAAAAGCAAATTATTTTTGTTCCTGCTTTCTTGCTGGAAGTCTTGATTTCTACTACACTGCAGGAGAAAAACCTGCAACCAAAGTCCAACTTAAATTCTATATCTAGGGTTATAAACTTTTTTAAGATTATATATATATATATATATATTTAAAAAAGAAGATGCTGGAGGGATAGCTCAGTGATTAAGAGCACTAGCTGCTTTTGCAGAGGACCTAGGTTGGGTTCCCAGCACCCACACGGCAGGTAACAACCATCTGTAACTCAGTTCCAGGGGATCCAATGGCCTCTTCTGGCCTCCACAGGCTTTGCCCGACAGGGTACACTTACATACATGCAGGCACAACATTCATACACATAAAATAAAATAAATTAATTAAAAATGATTTCTGTTTTTT